GGCCAAACTACATGAGGCTTATTTTTCCAATTGGAAAGCAATGTATAATCAATCTTTAATGTCTGTTTTTTAGCATTTTAGTGATCACCTGTCAAAAGAAAAGCTATGATACTGACACCTTCTGTGAATGTTAAAGATATCTTTTAAAAACAATTATAAAACTGCTCAACCTATCTGGAATCTCAGCACCATCAACTCAAATCATAAAACATTTTGGCACGTGGGGCAAGATCATTAAATGATCTATACTTCTACTCTGAAGCAACACTTAATAATTACTGTAAACAACTTAAAAAATTAAGTCAAGTGTTCAGGTTGACACAAATGTTGACAGTCAACATAGTTTTCTTTTTGTCTTAAGCTTCTCCTGCCTCTTATCTCTCAGCCTTTTGTCTTGTTCTTAAAATAGTTCTGACTATAGGTATACAGCTCACCCCAGTTTACTAGTATCCTGTGTTCATATTAGAGGTCCTGGACAGTATTATGTAAATAATCATAATGGGTTTAATTACTTACTTTTAAAGTTTTGCTTGATGATACCTCAGTGCTGGGTGGGAGAGGGGAATAGATGATGTGAGGAGTGGGAGAAGGATGGGAATGCCCAGCAAAAAGAGCAGAAATAACCTTAGACTAGGAATCAGATATCTGTGCCCTAGTCCCAGCTCCATCCTGGTTCTTCAGGTAAATCATGCAACCTTGTTTGCTCATTCAACATTCATTTATTATATACGTAAGGCCTGTGCTGTCCAATACAGTAGCCACTAGCTGCACATGGCTTCGAGCATTTGAAATGGAACTAATCCAAATTCAGATGTGCTGTAAAGTCTCATTAATACAGTTTATATTGATAACATATTGAAATATTTTAAATTGGGTTAAATAAAATATATTAATTTCACCTGTTTTTTATTTTTAATGTAGCAACTAGAAACTTTTAAATTATGTATGTGGCTCTATGGGATGGTGCCATGATAAGGCTCTGGTAAGAATACGAATACTAACAAGAATAAAGCAGAATCTGATATCAAGGAACACCACCCTCACCCCACAGCCCAAGTGGGGAAGGTAAAAGATATAAAAATAATTGCAACACAATGGTGTTAAATGCAGTGGTAGGTATGTATAGAGGGGTATGGGAGAAGAGGAGGGCTGTTTGTGGAAGGGGGTAGGAAGGGTACTGAAGAGAGACATTAGGTTAATGTTCTGGAAGCAGCAATACCTGAGCTGAGTCTTAAAGGATAGGCAGAAAAGTGAAACATAAAGGATCTGGGTGGAGGTAATTCCAAAAGAGGATTGTATGAACCAAGACAAAGAAATACTAAGAGGGAAAAGGGAAGAAGAAAAGCAGTTTGCTATTAGAGAGAAAGGGTGAGATGGGGGTCAGAGAGTATGCAAAGCTGACAAGAAGGGCTTCTGTGATGCTTTAAAGGGACTGAAATTTAACTTTAGGCCATTGGAGGCACTGAAAGGTTTTAAGCAAGGGAGTGCCAGAATCAGAAATAATGGTTTAGATCTCTGGCAGCTGTGTGGAGAGTCCATTAGGAGAGGAAGACTGGAACCAGGAGGCTGTAGTCTAGGTAAGAAACATCAGAGCCTACACTAGGACAGTAAGAGTGAGAATGGAAAAGAAAGCACTAATTCAAAACTGTTTAGGAAAAAATACCAGTTGAATATAGTGACTGACTTATCCTGACTCAAGGAAAAGGGGTTTGTTTTCTAAGGTGATTGGAAGACTCTGGATGGTTTCGAGTGGGAGAACGTTATGTTCTGATTTAGGTTTTAAAGGATTTCTGACTGCTGCTGAGAGATACACTCTTAAGGGGGAAACAGTGGAAGTAGGAAATAGAAAGACAGTTATTAGAAAAAAAAAAAGAGGCTCTTGTTGCAAAAGAGGTTTGAGATGATGGTGGCTTGGCCCAGGGTGGATGCAAAAGAGGTGGAAAGCAATTGGATTAGGGTTGCATTTTTATCCGCAAAATAGTATTTCCTAATTCATAGGATTAGGAAAGGAAAATGGAAGTTCAAGGAAGATCACACCTGTTGAGCCCAACTGTCTTGTTTAAGCAGGAAGTGAGGGTAGCTGCTGAGAGTGAGAATATTATATATACAGGTTTGAGGAAAACAGTGAAGGTTTGTTTGGCAGACAGCAAAGGAACAGAAGGTGTTGAACAAAAGCTATTTGAAGGATTAACTGATGCCCTACATAAAATGTGAAACAATGTAGTTTCAGCAATATCAGTCCAACCTATCATGTGACTTTACCTTCACAACCCTCAGCTACTCAGCTGTAGGAGTTAAGCAGATTGTAGAATCAACAAAATATTTCAGTTGTCAAATGCCTTGAGTTGATTTTAAAACCTGTAATTCCAAAATTCTACAGTTCTAAGAATCTTAAGAGTTTTTACTGCTACCACACACTTTTCCTTATTGTAGTTAAATGTATATAATATAAAACTTCCATTTTAGCCATTTCACCACATCATTTTTAAATCAAGCATCCTAACTAGGAGACTCCAATAGGTCATTAAAATAAATCCGAGCCCTCAAGGTGCCATCATTGGTCCTGGGGTGGCTAGAGTCCCAACTTCTATTGCCTCTGGATGGAAGCAGCCTCATCCTTTTAACCACAGTATGTGATGTTATATAAGCATTCGTTTTCTAAGTATTAAAAAAAGTTTGGCAAGCATTGTTCTAAGCCATAAAAAATGAGAAACCCAGTATTATGAAGAGCTCAAAATAGCTGCCTTTCTGTGGAAATTTTCTCAAAGACCTTTGCTACTTCATAGTTTATTCCACCATGGGGGTTTTAAAGCTCTTTATTAGGGACAGATACCTGAGTATGCTGACCATTTCCACTGTTAAAGCGACGTCATAAAATCTCAGAGGGAGAATCTAAGAATTTTGAATGGATTCAGAATTTCTCCCCCAACATAAAAAACAAAACAAAACAGGAATCCTTCAAGGGATGCTCAATTCAATCATTAATTCAGAGTACTGACTCTTTAGCCGGCACTGGGTTAGTTTCTAGAAATAAAAAGGAGAACAGACTTCATTTTGAGCACAAGAAACTTACAGTCTAGTGGAGAGACAATCAATTAAAACTCTAATAAGATGGAAAGGTACATAATGCTATAAGATCTAATAGAAAAAACTATTAAAACAAGACAAAAATATTAGTAAACAGCTAGGCAAAGGGTTGTTCAGGTAGGTTTGGTTGAAAATTCCAAACACAGGCAACAGTATATGCAAAGGCCTCGGTGACACTGAAAGACCAGCAAGGCCAGAGGGCAGAAAATGTTTGGAAACGAACCTGGAGAGGTAGTAGAGGCAGGTCAAAGGAGGCTTTCTTCAGAGTAACAGTAAGCCACAGAAGGGGTTTAAGCAGCATAGTGCCATTATCAGATTTATTTTTCAAGATTATGGTAACTATAAAGTGTAAAGAAGTGGCCTCAAAGTGGGCAAAATTTAAGGTGGAAGAAGAAAATATTAAATTTGTTTTTTTCTCATCCTTTAAAATATATCTTTAAAAATGTTGTAATAGTCATCATGTATTGTCATAAATACTAGTAAGGGCTAGCTTTTTATTGAGTACATCCTATGTATGTGAACACTGTACTACTAAGCAGCTTATATATACTAACCCACTTACTCATAACTCTGTAAGGCAGGTATTATTATCATCCTTTTACAGGTAAGAAAAATAAGACAGAGAGGTTAATAAACCAGTCCCAGGTTACTTGGTAAAGAAATATCAGAGCAAGATTCAAACCCAGAAGGTCAGGCTCCAGAACCTGTGACTTACTCATTAGACAATGTACCGTTTTTCAGCAATACATGTATGCAATTTAAAATTTAAATATATACATGAATTGAGAACAGACACTCAAAATTTTTTCTGAACAGTAATGAAGAGAAAGGTTTAGGTGGGGTGTTGATTGGATAGATACAGAAAGTAGACTAGCAGACTAGGTAAGAGATACTGGTATCCTGTAATACGGTCATAGTGATGGAGAGGAGATGGATTTGGGAGATATTTGGTAGGGAAAAATGACAGGACTTGGTTATAGGTGGAATATGGGGGTTACGTCAGAGGTGTCCAGGATGATTCTTTGGATTGAACTGGAGAGTGGAGCCATTGGCAGAGGCCAGAGGGATAGGTTTGGTCATTCTGTTTTGACTGCTTTTCTTTGGCCCACAAGTGCACTGCTCTTACATTTATAATAAAACCCTCCATTTCCATTATAAACATTTATACAAGCAATTAAATATACAAGCCACCTACGATGTATCAAAAATGGCATAGTCTATTTTTCACCTATTTTCTTTAAGAGTGTTGTGAATTGTCTTACAAAATTTGGAAGCACATGATAGTTACTGTAACAGGGTAATGAAGGTACTATAATAGGGTAATCAAGGTTCAGCAACCCTTTTCTTTGAAGATACTAACATTTCTGCAGCAGTGCTAAAATGTTACAGAAACACCCTGTTAGGGCCAATCCAAAACAGAAAGCTGCAATAGTCATCCCTTAAGATCACGGATAAGTGGAAAAATTACCTTTACATTTTGTATTTATGATTTCCTAAATATTACTTAACTTTTTAAAGTTTATAACATTATCCTCTTTTTCCGAGGTCTTAGAAGTACTACGATTAAGTGCTTAAGTGGTTTAAAGGATATTGTGATTCTCATCTCTTTATTTTCTTCATCTGTACAATTCCTAATGCTAGAACACTTTTTACAAATCAAGATAAAAAAGAAAACATACTAGCACTTTGAGCATTATAAACAAACAGCCACTGAAAATGTTGACATGAAAAGAATTACCTAACAGCATGTTGTTCCAACAAATAATGCTGGTCACTTCTGATTCCGTCTTATTTCAGGTTCGTCAGAAACTTTCTATTTAACCTCTGCAAAATATACACGTTTTGCTATATGGCCTCACCCCTCAGTTCTGTCAGGTCACGTTACTAAACTGTAGGTAATAGGAAAACTACGTTTGATTGATCCGCGTCCATTCCCTCTTCAGGTAATTTTAACTTTCCGTTTGGTACAGACCACTCACACATGCTTTCCCTGACATGTGCTTAAGTCAGACACACTGAAAACTTCCACGTAACACCAGGGACTTGAAGTTCCCCACACAGAAGAGCTTGAACTTTCTCCAGAGCATCTCAAAAGAGCAGTGAGGACCGGGGGCTCCGGGCCCCGCTCTTCGCGGCGGGACACACGGCGGGCCGCCCTCCGCAGCCGGAGGAAGGGGCGAGGCGTCGCGGGAACTCCCGCGTGACGCCACCGGGCGGTGGGCGGGGCAGGCCCAGCCGCCTCGACTCCCGGCCGGCGGCGCTAGCGCCCTCCCCCACCCGCAGAAAGGGCGGGCTGCCCCGAGGGGCCGGCTTTCCTGCCCCGGGCTTGGCAGATTAGTGAGGGATAGAGGAGTAAAGGGCAGCCGTCTCTTCACCGCCCGGAGCGTGCCCGCTTCACTTCTGGGGCTCGCGCGGATCACGAGGCAATCTTCGGAGCTGTGGTAAGAGGACCCTTCTTCCTTCGACGCGGGGCGCTGGGTCTGCCGCTACTTCCGGTCTGAAGCTGCGGGCTGAGAGAAGGCGTTTAGCCTGCGGGGCCACTGTGGCCAGACGGCTCTGGGGCTGTCTGAGGAAGGAGGCTGGGGCCGGGCTGAACGCGGCTGGAAGCGGACCGAACGGAGGACAACCTCGCCTCAGTGATACGCTGTCCCGCGCTGAGGACTGGCCTCCTAGCGTCGGGCCCGCCCCGCGCATGCGCTGAGTCAGCCCTGCGCTGTGGGGGCGCCGCGCGCGCGGTTCCCTGTGGATTGTTTAGATGAGCGCGGTCCGCGAAGCCTGCGCGAGGTGTGGAGAGGCGGATGGCTGAGGGTCCTAGGGTGGGAGCCTGCGGACCTCTGCTTTGCACGTAAGAGCAGCACCCACAGTCCCCGTTCAGTTTGTGTGGGGCCCCGGTGTGACTCCAGGCGCGCCTCTTAACCCCTCCCGTGTAAGCTTACGTGTGGTGTGACCAGAAAGAACTATTTTATTAAGCACCCTCAGTGTGGTGATTAGCACTGCTATGGATGCATGGAAATACATGAAGACATTACAGGCGTTTGAGCCCAGAATGCAACTTGAGAGACAAAGATGCACATTTCTGGGAAATTAAGGTGCATAGGTGTGCGGCGAATAACGGTTCAATGCGAAAGAGGTGCCAACAGAAAGTGCTGGGCATGCAGGATATCTTGGAGAGGGTTTTGTGAGCCATAATTTGCGAGTTTAGTATCGATAAATTGTACAAACGAAAAAAGACGTTTTTACTACCTCTAAAAGAGGACGCTTATTTTGCACTGTTGATTTTAAATTATTTAATACTGTGCAATTTTAAATTACTCATTAAAGTAATTAAAACTTTTTTGAAACCATTTATTTAATAAAAGTAATTAATTAATTTGGGGGTGGGGAGCTAGTTAGTATTTTGTATTTAATTAGCATTCAACTTGAGTTCCAGCCAAGACATTGCCATATCCTAGCAGTGAGTGTGACCTTGGGCGAGTCAATCTCTTAAGCCTGTTTCACCAACTCTTAAAATGAGTAATGGTAGCTGTTTATAGTTGTTCAGAAGATTAAGTTAAAAAAAAAAAAAAGACTATAAAACGGCACCATCTCTGGTATATAGAAAACACTTGGTGATCATAGCATAGACCTCTTTATCTTTTAGGGTTAAGAAATAGAACACAGACTTCTTGGAAATAAAGTTAATGTAATAATGCAATGCATCCAATCCTTTTAAAAACCTATTACAGAAATAGTAAGTGTACTTGAGAGAGATACTGGAGTTATGAACCCTGTCATGTACCTGTCCATCACCCAACTTAAGGAATTGTCAAAGCAGCCATTCTTGCTTGATCTCCCCCACCCAACATTCATTTTTCGTTTTAGCTGGAGTATTTGAAAGCAAATCAAAGAGGACACGTCAGTTTACCTGTAAATATCCAGTATGTATGTCTTTAACAGAAAAAGACCTTTTTTTAATATAACCACATCATTATCATACCCAAGAAAATTAAAAATAAGTCATTAATATTATCTAATATCCAATACATGTTCAATTTCCACTGATTGTCTCAAAAAAGCTTAATAGTTTTTATCTATGGAGTGCTTTACAGTTTACCAAATGGTTTTACACATAATCTTGTTCCCTTTAGAAACGTCGCTGCTTATTTTAGCCTCTTCTCCAGAGACTTCAAGTGATTAGCAAGAGACACTTTCCTCTGTTTGGGCATACGTTAGCAATGGTGAGGCCTTGGCTGAGGGGCCAGATGGGAGGTTCAACAGACCTGTTAATCATTTTACTCTTGTAGCGGTAGCTAGTTAATGATTTCAGTTTAAGAACACATACTAAAATATTTATTAATCCATTTGAACTACTTAGTAGCCTGTTGCTTCCTTCAGGGGCTAAACAACGTAATAAACTTAGTCATTCACATTTTCTCTGAGAGAGGCACAAAATAGCTTTATCTTGTTGCCTTGTTATTTGGATGTTTCTCTATTGGTAGATCTTTGCTTTGCCTGTACCTTGCTCACTGATTTCTTATGAGAAAGCTATTCAGATCCTCAGATGTGTTAATCAGTCTTTCCTGATCTTTTATAAAGTTTGTATCTCTGTGTATATAGAGACGTATATATATATATATATGAATGCTTGTTAAGTCGAGAATATTCAGAAAATTTTCCAGTTTTGGGTTCAGTGTGTTGTTGCACTCCATATCAACTCAGAAGTTTAGAAAGCAATAAATGCTTTTACAATGGTGAATTAATACTGATCGTGAATGACTACAAACTTCTCAATATCAGAATTGTCTCAATCTAACATAATTTAGATAATTACTACTTACTAGAAGGAATAAGAAAATTCAAAAATTTAGGTTAACTGAGGGCCAAATAACTGAAATCAGAGCTTTTCTCATCATAATCACCTTTCCTCATTCCCACTCCCCAAATTCTCAAAGTGATTGATTGTGGGTAGATAAAGAAAACATGAAAACAGCTGCTGGGCTTGAAGCCATTTTGACTTCAAATTACATGAATTACAAAATTCATTTTGTTGCATCTGTTGTTTCAGGTATTTCAACTGTCCAAATACAACTTCATACCTATACAATGTAACAGAAAAGATCAGAAAACATTAGGCAAATAGGAGTGTGGAGCATATTAAGCAAGATGAACATCTCTGGAAGCAGTTGTGGAAGCCCTAGTTCTGCAGATGTATGTAATGACTTTAAGGAACTTTGGACAAAATTAAAGGAGTATCATGATAAAGAAGTACAAGGTAAAAATCTCAAATATTTATAGCAGTAATCTATTGAGAATGTAATGGTAATAAGTATGTATGACAGTTCAAAGATCACAGTTTTAAGGAACCTTTATATTGTAAATTTTTGTGATAAATTTTTATGGTTAAATTGTTGCTCTTTGGCTACAGCCAACTACTACAGGATGTATTTCTTTCATAACTTGTAGTTACTTGTGGTAATATGTATGGTGTTGTGGAAAGGGGATAGAAACTCTTGGTTGCAGACCCGAATTTGAATTCTGGATTCACTTATTTACTTGCTCTGTGATCTCAGCCAAGTTACCTAACTTCTAAACTTAATTTTCTTCTGTAAAATTATTAGCAGGATCATTTATAGATGTTAAAATACTAAAGTCATTCTGCAAACATTTGGGAATCTGTTTGCTACTGAGGTACAAAAGTGAATGGCAGTTTGCCTTCAAAGAGCCTGCAGATAGAGCCAGGTAAACAGATAATTATAGTATAATGAAATAAGAGCTAAAAGGTTTATATTAAGTGCAATGGGTGTAGAGGATTAGAGTGGTTGTTGGTTGGGATGAGTGTGTATGTATTTGTGATTGTGTTAAAATGTACTCCATATAAATAAATATTCTATTAAAGCTTAATTCAAAGTTTGATACTAAGCTGTAATGTATCATCGAATTCTGTGTCTTTAACATAATACATTTTCCCATGTGTGGGAAATGTTTGACATTACATTTGTTTCTTGATTACCTATTACAACTGTAGGCGTAATACTACAGTGCTTTACAGTTTAATATAACACTGGAGTGCCATTAAAACATCCATGTGAATCTTCAGTATAGTATATGGGTCTGGTTGGACCTTTCCTATAGTAAATTTAATTTCTGGCAGAACTTCATGATAATAGACTCATCGTTAATTAACAGGTTCTGAAATACGAACCCCAGAAGTATTCTTTACTTGGGAGACACTTGTTCAAAAAAATGTTCCTTGGGGCACTTACTATGCACCAGACCTTGTGAATAAAAATGAATCATGAGTAATCCTAGAAGGGATTTTGTAGTATTATCTAGGCACTCATAGGAAGAACCAGGGATGGAGGGGATGGGCTGAGTGTTTCTTTCAGACCAGTCTTTACAATTAAATTAAGTCTAATTAGCCAGACAAAGAAGATGGGAGGAAGGGAGGAAATATTCTACCTTGGGGAATAGCATATGCAAAGTTTGGCTCTAACTGCTTGATTTTAATTGAGAAACTGTAGACAGTTGGTATTGCTCTAAGAGGGAGTGCAGTGGGAGATGGGAGTTTATTTGGGATGTAAACAGGAGATGGTGCTAGAAAGGTAGATAGGTTCAGATTATATAAAACATGAACTATGCTGAAGAGATTGTTAGCATGCCTTGTCTTTACAGTGAAGTTTAAAACTCAGCATGGGTGCCTATTGCCATTGCTTGGTAGTAGATGGGAGCAGTTCTATGTTGAGGAGCCCATGTGATACAGTTAAGTATATGAATTCTGGGTCTTGACTGCCAACATTTGAAAGCCATTGCTGCCACTTGAAGGCGATGACCTTGTACAAGTTACTTAACTAAATTTATAGTGCCTCCAATTCATTATCTGTAAAATAAAGATTCTGATAATGGCTACCTAGTATTAAAAACTTATTACTTTTAATACTTTAGAGAGTTTTTGGGGACATAGTAAGCAGCATATATGTTAGCTATTGCTGTCATTCTGCAGCAGCCACCATTATTATTATCAGTGCCTGCTGGACCATCCCAACTAGAGACTATAGGCTACTCTAAAGAAGTTGTAACAGAGGTTTCACATACTGATTATCCCCTTACGGGTTTTTAAACTGCTAATTCCTGGGAGGAAACAAAGAATGACCAAAATAATAAAGATGAGAAGATTTGAATGGTTAAGATATCTTAGAAAATTATTATCTTCCATCCATTTTAAAGGAGTGGGGATACTTAATTTAACAAGTTGTCATGAAATTTACATAAAATTACTCATCGTTACCATTTTTAAGTGTACAGTTTAGTATTAAACATATTCATAAGGTTGTGCCGCCATCACCACAATCCATCTCTAGAACTCTTCATCTTGTAAAGCTGAAACTGTATACCCATTAAACAAAAACTCCCCATTTACCCCTCCCTCCAGCCTCTGGCAACAACTATTCTACTTTCTGTCTTTATGATTTTGACTCTTCTAAGTACCTCATACAAGTGGCATTCTACAGAATTTGTCTCTTTGTGAACTGGCTCATTTCACTTAACACAGTGTCCTCAAGGTTCATCAACATTGCAGCATATTGCAGAAATCCCTTCCTTTTTTAAGGCTTAATATTGCATTGAGTATAATACCCTCTAGCTCCATCCATATTTATTCATTTGTCAATGGATATTAGGGTTGCTTCCGTCTTTTGGCTATTGTGAATAATGTTGCTATGAACGTGGGTGTACAAATATCGCTTCAAGATCCTGCTTTCAATTGTTTTGGGTCCATGCCCAGAAATGAGGTTGCTAAATTACATGGTAAGTCTATTTTTAATTTTTTGAGGAAATGCCGCATGAGTTCCAATTTCTCCACATTCTCACCAACACTTGTTATTTTCATTTTTTCTTTCCCCCATTTCTCCTTTCCTCCCTCTCTGTCCTTCTTTCTTCCCATGTGCTTATTGGCCATTTGTGTATCTTTGGAGAAGTGTCTGTTCAAGTCTGCCTGTTTTTTAGTCAGATTGTTTGGGTGTTTTGTTGAGTTTATAAATTCTGGATAGTAATCTCTTACCAGATATGATTTGCAAATATTTTCTTCCATTCTGTGAGTTGCTTTTTCACTCTATTCATTGTGTCCTATGCTGCAAAAAGTTTAAAATTTTAATGTCCAGTTTATCTGTTTTCTTTTGTCAGCTATACTTTTGGTGTCATATCCAACAGTCATTGCCAAATCCAGTGTCATTAAGCTTTTCCCCTGTGTTCTCTGACAGTTTTATAGTTTTAACTTGTAGATATTTTATCCATTTTTTTTAATCGAAGTATAGTTGACATAATATTATGTTAGTTTCAGGTATACAACATAGTGATTTAACATTTATGTATATCACAAAATGCTCACCATGATATTTGTAAGACCCAAAACCATAAAACTCCTGAAAGAAAACATAGGCAGTAAACACTTGGATCAGTCTTTGATCCACTGCATGTTCAATTTTATATATGGTAGAAGTTAAGGGCCAAATTTCATCCTTTTTTTAATTGAAGTATCCTTGATATACAATCTTATATTGGTTTCAAATGTCAATACAAAGGTTCAACAGTTACACACATTAGTAAATCTTCAACCCCACTAGTGCAGTTACTCTCTGTCAACATAAGACAATGTTACAGAATCATTGGCTGTGTTCTCCATGCTGTCCTACTATCCCTGTGACCAACTTATATTATGATTGAGAATTTTATACTCTTTTATCCCCCTCAGCGACCCCACTTACCCATCCCAATCCCTCCACCATAGTAACTACTAATCACTTCTCAGTATCTGTGAGTCTACTGCTGTTCTGTTCATTCTGTTTGGCTTTGTTTTCAGATTCCTCAAATAAGTGAAATCATACGGTATTTGTCTTTCTCCGCCTGGCTTATTTCACGTCAAACTTAATTCTTTTGCGTGTGGATATCTAGTATGCCCAGCACCATTTGTTGAAAATACTGTCCTTTCCCCCATTGAATGGTCTTGGCAAGCCTTCCCAAAAACCATTTGATCATATGTGTTAGTTTACTCCTGGACTCTCTAGATGTCTGTCTTTATGTGAGTACCACAGTGTTTTGATTACTGTAACTTTTTAGTAAGTTTGAAATCAAGAAGTATGTGACCTCCAATTTTGTTAATTTTCAAGATTGGTTTGGCTATCTGGGCTCCCTTGATATTCCACATTAATTTCAGGACTGGTTTTTCTGTTTTGGCAAAAATCACCTTGAGATTTAGATAGAGATTATATTGAATCTGTAGATCACTTTGAGTACTATTAACACCTTAACAATATTAAGTCTTCCAGTCCATGAACATGATATGTCTTTCTGTTTACATCTTGTTTAATTTCCTTCAGGAATGTTTTGTAGTTCTTATTGTACAAGTCTTTCATCTCCTTGGTTAAGCTTATTCCTAGGTATTTTATTCTTTTTGATGCTATTATAAAGGAATTGCTTTCTTTCCTTTTCAGATTATTATTACTATATAGAAACAACAGATTGCTGCATGTTGATTTTCTGTCCTGCAGCTTTGCTGAAAGTCTCCATTTCTTTTTTTTTAATTAAAGTATTGATGTACAATCATATGAAGGTTTCACATGAACAACATTGTGGTTTCAACATTCACCCATATTATCAAGTCCTCACCATCACCCCCACTATCAGAGTAGTAAGATGCTATAGAGTAATTACTTGTCTTCTCCTTGCTGTACTGATTTCCTCGAGACCTACCTATATTGTTATTGCTAATATAGTGCTTCTTAATCCCCTTCTCCCTCCTCCCCACCCACCCTCCGTAGCCCCTTCCCTTTGGTAACTGCTAGTCCCTTAGAGTCTGTGAGTCTTATGCTGTTTTGTTCATTCAGTTTTGTTTTGTTGCTATATACTCCACAAATGAGTAAAATCCTTTGGTATTTGTCTTTCTCCACCTGGCTTATTTCACTGAGTATAGTACCCTCTAGCTCCATCCATGTTGTTGCAGATGGTTGGATTTGTTTTCTTTTTATGGCTGAATAATACTCCATTGTGTATATATGTACCACAGATTCTTTATCCATTCATCTACTGATGGACACTTAGGTTGCTTCCATATCTCGGGTGTTGTAAATAGTACTGCGATAAACAGGGTATGTATGTCTTTTTGAATCAGGGATCTTGTTTTCTTTGGATAAATTCCTAGGGATGGAATTCCTGGGTCAAATGGTATTTCTATTTATAGTTTTTTGAGGAACTTCCATATTGCTTTCCACAATGGTTGAA